ATCATACATCAGTGCAATCATCACTGAGGGCCACTGTTGTGTAAACTACTTAGCTGGGTCATGACCATTCCTCATTACTCCCTGCCTGGTGCCCTAAGCTGTGTTAGTTCTCTGTTATTGGCAGACAGGCAGAGAGTTTATGTAAGACTGACCCCTTCTTGGGCCTCCTTTGCTGAGCTAGGCTGAGCCTCCTTTTCCCTCTCTCTTTAACTCGTTTTTTTTACTCTCTTTTCTATTTCACAAACACACACCTCCACTAGCCTCAGACAGCAGCATGATTGTAAGTTGCCAGACACGCTGCATAAATAGCTTTATTATGTTCTCAAAACTGCACAGCACTAACGAACTTTCCTCTTAAATACCAAGGGTCATTCGCTGAGCTGGATGTGGGCGTCGGAGGCTAAGATACTCCACTAACATACAGCCCCGTCTTTCGAAAAAACAATTACAACAAAGCATTGATAATGGAGTACAGATGGGCAGAAAAGAGATGGCGAATTATACAAACATGCAGACAAAACAGAGACAGAGTCTGACAGAGAGAGGGAGAAAGAGAGACAGGGCGAGAGAGTGAGAGAGAGAGAGGTGGCAGCAGAAACACAACCATTTAAGGCTGCATACCCAGCAGCACACAGCCTGAGGTGGACTCACAAATAGCTCACATGAATGCACATACTTGTGTGCACACACACCGATCACTCTGGTGATTGCATAAGGTGTACTGTGTTTTTTCCCTATTCTTTGATGTGAGAGCATAATAAAAGCTTGTCCTTCCCCGGCTGGAGATGAGTATCTTACAATAATGATAAAGATTGTCTGTTTGCCATTTTCTGATTTTATTTATCTCTTTCTCACTTTTATTTCCATGCCGTCGAGTGATGGGAACTCATATAAACCAGTTTTTGACAAAGGATCCAATCTTTAGTTGGAGAAATATCAAACACAGTGGTTTCAGCTCTGTATAGCTCCAATAACAGTAGAGGTATGAGTGGTAGACCTGAATATCCTGGCATTAGTAGTGGGCAGAATAGAGGAAGCCATGTTTAAGGTTGGACCTGTGACAAATCCAAATGTAATTTTCAATGTGTAATGATAAAATAAAATCCATACACAGTTAAAGATTAAAATGACAGAATTCCTCTGGTCCTGTATCTGGTCCCCTTCATCATGTTACTGCTACTTGTAGCATCATCAGCTGTGGTGACAAGTCATGTTAATTACCATTGAAAAAACATAACGCCCTCTAATCATCTATCTTAACAAAATTCTCATTTAAAGTTACAAACAATTGTTTTGTCTGATTTTAGACCAAAACACACATTTACTTCACTGGAGTTAGCACAAGCTCCACGGTTGCCTCCCCAGGCTTTGCCATAAAAGTAACAAAAAGCAGCATGTGCTAGCACTTCAAGAAGACAGCCGTTTTCCCTTTAAATAACACTTTTTCAAAACATGAAAATTGTCACTTTTTCAAGAAGCTACAACACTGACTTATTTTTAATAATAGCAAGCATGTTTACCATAAACAGCTGATCAGTAGGCTAAAAAGGGGCATACTGCAACCTAATTGAAGTAAATTAGAGGAACTGGGGGATAAAAAAAATTATATCCAGTGTTTGTAAACTAGGACAAGAACAATAGTCCTATTTAATAACTTAGTGGAGCACTGCCTCTAACTGAGCATCACCACTGCCAACAGGTATAGTCATATACTGGAGCATCATATTAACAGCAGCCATGATGGAAAATAATGTATTGGTGGGTGCCGTGTGCAGTCCTGCAGGCACATACTCCTCCGGGTAAACCATATGCCAGGTAGCATTATAAAACCATCTTCACCTAACTACCCCGCTGAAGCAGATGAACGTTAAACCATTTTAACTGCAGCAGAAGCCACAAAATGGCTGTCAGCAAAAACACATTCCCTATGCCCTAACTATCTTCTCCCTTTTCCTCACCCACTCACCCATCCTCTTTTTCTCCCTTTTCTCTGAGCTGCCCCCCCCCCCCCCCCCCCCCCCCAAAGCCTCCACCACCTCCTCCTTTCCTACTGCTCCCTTTCTCCTTTACTGTGTGATCTGCCAAAACGTGCTCCAGTGCTGATATTCTCTGAAGAGAGCCTGCCAACGGTTAGATTTGTCCTTGGATCCCATTCACATCCCCTCACCTCCCCGCCACCCCTCCCCCGCCTCTGTGATCTTACTTCAACTTGAAGTATCCTGCTCAGAAGGGGATACACCTAATCGATTTCTCATGCTTTAATTTAAAAACGCATCATGGGCATCCTATTACCTAACACTAGCCTTAATAGCATGATTCATACTGAAACACCACAAAAACGTTGCTGGAATTTAAACTCTCCCAAATCTGGCAACAAGACACAAGACACAATCAATGGTTTCATCGCACTCTGAATCACCTCTATTATCTGTCCCTTAACCCCCTGTCTCTCCATCTAGTCACACACTTCGTCCTCAAGTGCCTCTCCTCTCATGCACTTGTTCTTCTGCTTAATCCAAAATTCATGTCCACAATTTCATTGTCTAAAATTCCACACTCTATTAAATAAACATTTTCCATTTTACTTGTTGTTAAGCTTGGCTTAACTAAACTTAGCCACAGAATTTTCCAGAAACTACTATCGCTCATGTTTACATACTGTCCCACGCATTGTGGAACACATTTTCTATTTATTTGAATGGCTGCTGACTATAGAAGTAATGTGAGGAGTCACTTGGCAACTCATAACGAATTAAGCCAGTTCAATGAACTCTAACACCACATCTTTCCAATAACAAAAATATTCAAAATAAAGATATAAGCCTGTCGCTCAAATACCAACAATCAGTTCTATTTTGAAAAACCATTGGATTAAAAAGGTTTTATGAAAAACAGAGTCCATGTATACTGACAAATCATGCCATTCAGAGTCTAGAGTGTGAATTGCAAACAAGTTAAGTTAAATGTTCTTTTCTAGAAGGTAGGCTAGGTAAATCCTAAAACAAACAAATGTGGCCATGCCCTAAAATAGATCATGGTTGCTGGGCTTATTTATTTACCTTAATGTTGCACCACTCTCAACATTGGTTGTAAGGACTTTTTGAAATATTTGAAGTACTCTGAGGCTTAGGACTTAGGACTTTCACAGTTGATCTACAGAAATATTCATACAAAACTTTGAACAAGCAACAAATAAACCTCTGGTCAATCTGTTCTAGAAAACAGCAATACTATATTGTTTTGACCATTTTCAAAGGTGACATCATAGCATCTAAAATTGTCCTACAAAACTTAAAATATGAATTTCTTTGTCTTTGTTCCACCGCCTAATAACCATAATATAACATATTGTTCTTAATGTTTTATTGTTTTTTAATGCTGTGTTGTTATCTTTGTATCCACTGTAAGGTGTCCTTGGGTGACAGAAAGGCGCCTATGAAATAAAATGTATTATTATTTATTATTATTATAAAATGTGTTGGTGCCTGTGCAATGGGACAATTACATATTTACTGAAATTTTACATTGAAGGGGCATCAGAAAACATGAAGGGAGATAAAAAGCAAGACACAAATGTTGGACCCTCAACCTAAGATGATATGTCGTCTTACAATTCGGAACTACAACTGGCAGATGGCTATCAAAACAGCCAAGGTGACCCCAACACCGGAGGTGAATTCATGCAACCTGGTGCCACGGTATTTCCCCTCTATAACATTTCCTGACTCATATGAACACTGGCATCAAAAGAGAGAGAGAGAGACAATCTCTCTGAAGCTGACTTAGTCACAGCCCGACACACTGGTGGAAAATGAGTAGAGTGAGGTTCCCTAGATCTGTCAAATTAGCACATTTATATCTGTGAATCCCTGCAACTTCTGCTAATTGGGCAGCCCATAACTGCCCAGTTATTGGGTTGTGTCTGGCCTTACCCTGTGTTATTAAAATGCTCATACTTCTGGATAAGAATTAGCTTGGACTAAGCGTACTTTATTTTGCTCCAGTTGGTTTATTAAAGTTGACTGTTTTGCTTGGAGACCGGGGCTCTGCTGCTTTATGAATGCCTTGTTTGTTTCTTTTGTTTACACAAGGCAATATGTGCTATTTTATGAGGATGGATGTTGCAATACGATTTATTAGAATAAAAAATTCACTGTTGAGAAAAGATGTTCTCCCCTGCATGTGTTTGTCATCCGATAATTCAAAACTGTATCTATTAATTGCTAACTAGTTAAATTACTGTATTATACATAAATTAAAATATCTGGTGGCACTGTAATAAATATTCTATTGGGCTGTGTTGCGAGTTTGTCTTTTGTGGTATTCCACTGAATCAAATCAATCTGCTGAATTTCAAATGAAATTGAAACAAGACGCAAAACTCAGTGTGCTTCAACCTGCAACCTTAAAGCACCAAGCTTCTCCCAGAAGTATCAGAAACACCACATTCAAGCAAAGATGACTTTTCAAGGTATTTTACAGCAAAATAGACAAACACAAAAACAGCAACACAACCTGAAGCAGACAGGAGGAGAAATAAGCCTCCTGACACCGACTCTAGTGCTGTGTGACAACCTTATCAATGACAGGGCATGAGGAAAAGGAGAAGGAGAAGCAGGAGGTCCAGCAGAGTGGGAAAACATTTGAAGTGAGAGTGTGAACAGCAGTGCTGAGCTGCAGCTCCTTCATCACTGAGGAGAGGACACTTCATCCCATTGACCCAATTAGCTGTTTTATGTCACTGCCACCCAATTACTAAGCATAACAGGGGACAACAGGGGAGTAAGGAAAGTGATTGTCACAGTAATGACGGCAGCGCTGGCATGTGACTACAGGAAAACACGTATTTCATGCAAGGAATTCAAATTGGCCCGAAGGGCAGAAAGATGAAGAGGAACCATGGAAGTCAAGCAACAGAACATCAATATACAGTCAAGAAGACATGCACAGCAGAGGTGTATTCAGGTGTGGAATGTGACCAGTCAGCCGGAGCGACTTACCCATGTCTAATGTTGTCACAGGCTCGGCTCTAACCTGTAAATATTTTATCACGATCGTTTACAATCCATTTAGACGCATTTTACACCAGCCACGGGATGGGATGACAGCATCCCGGGGAGCTGTCACACGGAGCCAAAACAGTATATGTATGTCAATATCTCTCACAGAAAATCCGGTGAAAAAAATGGCGTCAACTGTGCCTTGGACAAGCAGGAGAAGGAGGGAAAAAAAGGGCGAAAATAGGGTTTGCAGTCGATGCGATGACAGTGGAAGATAGAAACACGGGGAGTGTGTGAGGTGGAATCCAATTGGAAACTTGGCGCTTATGTCCCAATTCCTCAGAGAAATCAGTTCCACCGAGGCTCCTGCAGGTCGACGCGTGTGTCGGCAGAAGCGGCGGCGGTGGTGCTGGAACCGCGGAGGTGCGCGCTGAGTCTCTGGAGCGGCACCAGGATCGCCGGTCACTGGGCTAAAAGCTCTCTGCAAATCCGCTGCTTGGTTTGATAGACGAGAGGCAAGAGGTGTATACGCGGTAGTGGGGGCTTAGTTGGTAGCACTGTTACTGCAGTTAAAACAACAAGCCCAAATCCAGCGGGGAAATGTCAGACGAGAGCGCGCTGGGAGCCGTTGGCACAGAGGATAGAGGAGTCCGGCCTGGACGGGGTGCGCTGCGGCGGTGTGCGGTATGGGTTGGGTCGCTGCCTTTCTGTCGCCGGTTGCATGGGATCAGCAGACGTTCCTCCCTTATCTCTGCTTCACAGATCGGTGAATGTCAAGTCCCAGAGCCTGGTGTCTGGTAATGATCTCACCCAGCAGACTGAGAGCTGTGGCTTGAACAGAGCAGGGAGCAGAGGAGGAGCGACATCGCCTCCATCTGGCAGCAGGAGCGCACGCAGCCTTAGAGAGCGCCTCCTTTTTTAGACACACGCACACCCTTCTTCGTGTGCGTGTGCGTGTGTGTTCGTGTCACTCGTCCTTTGTGTTGGCTCTTACAGACGTGTTATTTTAATGTAATGTAAAGAAGGAAAGAAACATCTGGCTAATAGGTTGGTGTTTTGACTGAGTCTACTCTGTTTTTCTACTTTTTTCTACAAATCATATACAGCCTTATATATTTTAATGTTATCTAATATATCCATCTATCTGGATATAAATAATAATAATAATATTTTATCTATCTATCCATCAATCAATCTATTCTGTTCTGTGTTTGTGGACAAGATGGTAGGTGACATGTTCTCTTTCAGACGCTCAAAGTGCTAGTACCATAAGTATTTGAATAAGTAGTTGAGTGAATGCAGGTTAAGTTATCTTTACCTACGCCTTTTTCATTTTATTGTGGCTGCTTGTAACCCAGCCTCAGTGCTAATTAGAAATGTTCAAGAAATAATAAATATTTGAGATAATAAGACAGTATAGCATAACCCAATAGCAGCATTGCAATCCCATTGAAAATAAAGGTCCTTGGCTAAATCATCACAATCATCAAAAAGTTTTTTGTCACTAACAATGTACATTAATACAAAATCTTAATTTAATAAATACTGTACTATAAATGAACTAACACATTCACACTTACATTTTAAATCTAAAAATTACTTTTAAAGAACGATGCAGAGTTGTCTTTTTCCATTAGTCTGAGATGAAGAGATTATGATCAGTGTGAACTCACTAATCTCTTAATCTTAATCTAGACTCTCCTCATTACCAGCAAATGAAAACTTCTTAGTCACAGCTAAACACATAAATTTCATCTGACATTTTTCCGTAATACACATTCCCGTGGGAGTTTTGAAACATCGCATGAAACAATTTGCGAACCTGTGGGCAAGGCTATAAATACATTTGATCACCTCATACTTAATAGGAAATAGTTTGCTCATAAACCACGGCTACAGGAAAGACCAGGGTTTATGTTAGGTAACTGGCACAGAATAATTAAATGCACTTTAACAGAGTGGGCGCAGAGAGATAAACCTGTGAGTGAGACTCTACAACACATTTTCTTCAGAGTAAGTGGGAGATGAATGATGACAGATTAAAGTACAGGTCAGTGTGAGTCTGCCTGTGTGGACATGCTGGTGCTCTCCCTTTAATATGTCAGATTACAGCGGGGGAAACAACAAGCCACAGTTGTTCCATGAATTCATCCGTGGCAGAGGTGGTGTTTGTTTTACATCTCCATGAAAATCTTGAACTCTTACTTCTATGGAAAACCTTTAACACCAGCAGAAAATGCTAATGATGTCAGATGACCTTTCTTTCACAGATAGTAACTGCTACTCATTCCTAGCATGTGTGTGGGTTGGGTAGGTGTGTGTGTGTGGTATGTGTACAAAACACACACTATGAGAGGTATTTTATAAACCTGGGTGTTTGTTTTTTCCGATTGTGCAGGGACACATTAAAAGTCAGCACAGTTTCAAATGTGTAGTTAAAACCCTGCGGAGCCAGCAATAGTTTCTGGGTGTTGTGCTGTTTCACTTCCCCCTGACATTTGTTGTTTTTTGTGTTTTTCACTGCCTATCAGAGACAATCGATTCCATATATAGTGTATAAGAAAGAATTGCTGAAAATAACTTTACTTATCGAAAGTCACTTAGATGGATGGATGGATAAATGGATAGCTAGCTAGATAGATGTCTTTATTCCATACTTATATCTAATTTTCACCACCCTCAAGTTCTCATCTGCTACTCCTGATTCAAACATTTCCACTATTCGTTTTGGAATTTAAAATTCTCACTTAATGTGAAAAAAACTGATTCTTCATTTTGTGACACTGACATAAGATATACTTGATAAACTAACTTGTACGTGTGTTTTTATACAGTCTCTTTTTTAGATGCAGCAGGTATTGTTATGTAAACACATTAGCTATGTTTTCATAACAATGCCACAACATGTCTTACATATTTATTTCTCCACCAATTGGCACAGGGCCATTGTTGTGTCACTGCAGTGTGTATTTTACATTTAAATGTTTTATGTCAAGTGTTTCAGCAGTAATGGTGGATTTAAATCTTGAGCTACTTAGGACTCAGAGCTATCGGATGATAAAAGTTTATTTTAGGTTCATGCATTACATTTGTGGTCATAGGTATAGTAGTCCTACCAATAAACTCACGTTTATTTGGGGATTGATCATCAAAGTGTAAAGCAGACTGGGATGTCTTTAAAATTAGACCTTAGAAGTTAAGAATCACTACAGTGTGTGTGTTTGTGTGTGTGTGTGTGTGTGTGTGTGTGAGCGTGTGTGTGTTCACATTAATGTGTCCATTGATTTGAGATGTGTGCAAGAATACAAAGAGACCCCTGAGAGTGAAGGGTCAACAGCTGCTCCCCAACAACCAATCAATTGCAGTGTATCCGTAAACATCACACACAGACACACACACACGTGTTCACACACACACAAACACACACACACAGAAGGTACTCTGTTCTCCTTCTTGAATCTGTTGCCATGGATACCAGATATGGGCAGCCAAGAGGGAGCAGTTTTCCGGCTTAAACTGTAAATATTGAATTATGATGGTGAGGAAAGAGACAGCAGTGCAGCGCAGCACTCCTGCCTGAATGATATAAATATCTAGATCATCTTTTCATCTCTTTTTACTGCTGCAGAGAAACTGGAGCATGATTCATCAAGTTCAACAGAAAAAGACCAATCTGTCTTTCTCACCCAGCCGTTTATCTAACTCTGACTAAAGGTTGCCCCTGCTTCTTCATCTCCTCCTGCCTTTTTGTCTGGAACATCTTCATTCCCTCAAGTGGCTGCCAAACTTAGTGCTTCCTCGTGGCTGATTTGCAGCGCATAAAGAGAATTTCAATCAGGCAACTTGAGCAAATACCAAGGCTTAACAGTACGTCTTTAGTTTCACCAGTGAAAAGACAGAGCTGATTGACACCACCAGTTTAAGAAAGAGAGGGGAAAAAATGACTTGTCAATTAATAAAAGCTGTGGCAGGAGCAAAGAACTGAAAAACTAAAAAAAGACGCAGATGTGAGTAATGTCAGGGCATCGACTTCTTTATGAATAATAGAAGCAGTGAAGTCAGCAGAGCTAGAATAACAAGAACACGCTGGTATTTATAACAAAGCTGCAGCACTTGATTGTCCTTGAGATGACATTGTGAGTTTGAGAGCCTCACGTTCAATCGATGAAGGGCTTTTCTCAGGGAGTCCACTAATCTCATAGGGTATCAGAGGGTTCAACAGAGCTGAGGGACCCAGGGGACTGACTGAGGTAATGGGGTTAACTGAGGCTGTCTGTGTGTGTGTGTGTTAACAGTTCCTCGCCTGTGAAGAGATATACACTGAAAGCCACCAGGAATATTGAGCTGAGGGTGAGAACACACTGCCAATTTACAGTATGACTATGACATAAGTGTGTGCGTGTTTGCTCTCGGGTGTGTGTGTGGTGTTACAGGGAGCGAGTGAATGAGAAGTTAATGGAACGTGTGACAAGGTTGATTACTAAGGCCTCATTGATGTGGCTGGGTTAATGAAGTAAATGACTCCTTTGAAAACACACCACCAGGGTGATCTTCAGCTCCTGATACACTCAGATAAACCAGAATGTCTTTCTCTTCTCCCTCATTTACTCTACAGAGACAATTGGCCTGGACACCATGCTGTCTTAGTTATTGGAGACACATGGCAAAACAAAACCTAGAGTCTTTCCAGACTGCTATTACTGGTAAGATGACATTTAACTTTTAATGGTGACGGTAGATAAGTATGTGAAGGTTTAAAAGAATACTGCTTGGTGTAGTGCTAGTGGTCTCAAGCATATGGTTAAATGTCTAGGAAAGACCTATTCAACCGGAGGGCAGAGAAATACTTAAGGGTGGTGCAGGACTTGAACTACATAGATTGATTGACATAGGTCGTCAGAGGTCAGACTGGAGTTTTAATTAACAAATATTATTACAGATGATTTTTTTGTGATGGAGGATGTAAGTCAGTGAAAGCAATGAAGTGAAGTGGGTGGAGAGCTGGAGTTCTGAGGTTGTAAAGGTCAATGTTTATTTTTACAATACCTGCTTTGATGCAATGGAAAGTCTGGAGCAGCAAGAATTGAGTCAAACTTTAAGACAGAAAAGGTGAGACTTCCTGTGATTAATGGCACTAACTGGATCACAGAAGGCTGAGCTGGAGTTGGTAGATAAAAAAAAAAAAATCTTAAAATTTTCCTTTGAACTGATCAGGATGGACAGAATTAGAAACCAGCATATCAGAGACTCAGATAAAGCTGACTACTCTAATCCTTAAGAGGCATCGTGTTGACAGTTTGGACGTGTTGACAGGAGAGAGTGGATATGTTGGATAAATGGCAAGAGGAGAGAGGAAAACCCGAGGGAAGATGCATAAACTCACTGAAGGAAGACATAAGAATGGTTGCTGCAACACCAGAAGAGGCAGGTGATCTGTGCAGTGACCCCTGAAGAAGAAGATGACTAAATTCACAGTGCCTTCCAACAGTGTATGGTCTCTGCTAAGGAGAAAAACCTGCAGTTTGCACTCACTTAACAGTCGTACAAAGAAGAAGTGGGTATTGTTGCAAACTTTGTTTCCCATTTAGCAACAAAGTAAGAGATTCTACTAATGGGAACCGTAATGATGCCTTGGAGAAAATGCAGAGCGGAACAAAACATCAACGCGGGATGGAAGCTAAGACAACAAAGACTAGTCTAAATGCATTTTACAGCGGACTCCCTGCTGCTTGTGTATGTGATGAGATGACACCGTTCTCATCCCCCTGCTACTGATAGGAACATTATCATAATGTTTCCTCAGTATGAGGTGATGCTATCAAGTGATGTCCTTCAAGTGGCCTGGTGCAGCGGAGCTGCCGCTTCACATGCTGAAAGGAAAAGAGTGGTAAACAAGAGAAAATCTGTCCGTATGTTTACACAAACAGACAGGGTTGGTATCTAACTATGTAGCCGTGCACTGACAGCATCAATCTCATGAATCTCTGCATTTGTTGTAAACAACCAGCAGCAAGAGAGATAACGATAGTCCTTCTGTTTGTCCTTCTGCTTCTGCATTGTTCTGTCACTACAGACATATGTGTAGAATAAATAGGAAGCAACCAAATGAAGGATGTGGAAGGACTGATGTCTTGATGTCGGTACAACGTGAGAGATTTGGATTTCTGCTGCGACAAAATAAGAGACAGAAAAAAGAAAAAAAAAAACAAAAGCCACAAATTATTTTAATGATGAAAAAAACTAGTACTGAGAAAAATATTGTTTGTCATCCACATCCACCCTGCGACATCCTGTTGTGTTCAAAACCCAATGTGCATGTGGTCAGATTCAGCTGCGTTGTGTGTGTGTATCTCTTGACGACAGAACACACCACTTCCCTTGAGTCTCCGAGTACAGTGAAGACAAAGGTCTACAGCAGGTGTGTTTTGCAGCCCAGACTGTCATTATGCTGAATCATTCATCACTTACACATTGAGACAGAGCTTCAAAGTTTCCTTTTAAACCTTATCTTTCCAACATAATGATTTAATGGAGGTGATAAAATTAGTGAGTAAGAAAGTAACCATTAAGTCTGCAGTATTTACGTTTTCTGATTCATTTTTGTGGAGGGAGTTGGAGGGAATTTTAACTGACAGCAGGGGAAAGGACAAATTTGACCATGCAAGACAGGTTGATAATTTCAGTCTGTAGATCAACACATATGAATGAATTTAAGGAATTAAACGGTTTTATTATGGACTCACATTTAAAGATGCAGTGTGTTAATCATCTGACTGAATATCCCTCAGCTCTCCATTCCTGGCCAGTGTTTATATTTCAGCTTAGCAATCAACTATAGTTGATAGTGATAGTTTAATAATAATAAATTAAATAATAATAATAAATAGATAAAATAATTTTAAAAAAGATCTGGTGTAATGGAATATACTGGGGTTCATTATGAAGGTGAGCTATGGAAAACAGTGTCAGATCAACTCAAAGAACAATTATTTCATTAATTTTGTTGTGGACTTCATTGAGTTGGACATTTGTAACACAGGATGTGCTGCAAATCTGCATGTATGTTTGCTAATGTGATGTGCAGGAGATGGCATCTTTCTTATTTAGGCTGTTTCCTGTGTTTGGGAAATAACCTGGCTGCATGGTCATCCTGAACTCTACAACATACACAGTTCCAAAAAGACCATGTGGAACAATGGATTTGTAAATATGTCAAAGTACGAAGGCATTACCAAATAACACCATGCCATTAGGCTTTAACGACATAGTGTGTGTGCTTAATTGTCCTTCTTGCATTCCAGATCTGTCACCTAGAAAAGGACAATCATACGGTGATGACCATGGACTTTAAAGCAGCTTGGGCCTTTAATACAGGAACAATTTAGAACTACCAATTGCATGTGTACAAAACTTTCTGAAAATAGATCAAATCTGAATAAAATGTGTAGTGGTATAACTTTTATCAGTCTTAAAGGTTTGTGGTTTTTCATGAGAATTTTGGTTATGTTATTGAGACGTTTATTTAATGTATTTTCTTTTCCAACAATACTTTGTTTTTTTGCAGTCTTTTACACTGGTTTTTACAAAAGAAAGGTTTAAATTGTTTGTACTGTACTGACTGTGTGTTTGATACAGAAATAAATAAATAAACACACATCAGAAAGCACATTTTCTGGGTCATTCACACACTACTTCCAACTCCCATTACTTTGAAAGTGGCCATTAATGTTGGAGCTGTATCAGTCTCCAGTATCTCTGAGGAAGGATAAAGTGACCACAAAATACCACATTTCACACACATGCAAAACACACACACAGAAAAAAGACACCTGGCTTGCATTTGTTGTTTACTGTACATTGAGTGAACGCCAGTCCTGTCTTAAGCAGCAGGATGTGGTGACGGTGACAAGTCCTCGCTCAACAACACCCACTTCCTATGAGTTTGATAAACAGCTTTGTGGTTTCAACCTCCTGCTGCCAGTCACGCAGTAACACACACAAAACAGCTCAACAGCATCACCATCTGCTAATGTGACATCTCACCAAAGCGAGTTATCATGTGTGGTGTTCGCAGTGCTGCTGTGAGATTTACTGTAACAGACTGCACAGAAATTTATAACTCAGCTGTCACTCTGCTCCTCACAAATGCCCTCAAATCATAGAGGAGGACATAAATATGTCATAATTTCTGTGGAGTGAGTGATAAAGGTGGGCTTGAAGTAGGCCAGCCTGGAGAGATATGACCAGGTATGTTGTTCATACACAATATTATGTCAGTTCTCCCCCTACATCCTCTCCTTCTATCCTCTGCTCCCCTGTCCTTTCTTCTCTTCTCCTCTGTTCTCCTCTAATATCCACTCTATTCCTCTCCTATATCCTCTTCTTTTCTTTCTGATTTGTTCTCCTTCCCTCTTGTTTAATCTCATTTCCTCTTGTCTTCTTTCCATGACTATTTTCTCTTCTTCTCTGCTTTGCCCCTCCGCCCTCCACCCTTTTTTTCCCCTCTGCATGGTTGCAGGGCCACATACTATACTGCCACTCTGTGAGCTGTCAGGATATGAATGTGCATACATCTAAAAGAAGAAGGGGTTTCACACCCCTCTTGTGGAACTTTACATAAAAATGAAAATCTATCTTTCTGTTCTGTTCTCGCTCTCTCTCTCTCCCTCTCTCTTTCTCTCTCTCTCTCTCTCTCTCTCTGTGTGTGTGTGTGTGTGTTTGATGGAGAGAGGAGGGTCAAGGGAGAAGAGCCATGCCTAATCCTGTGGGATTGAGGGTATCTACTGTGTATGGAGATAAGATGAAGAGATGTGTTCAGTGGGGCATGGACCTCAAAACCCTCCTAACTGACAGAAGAGACTCTCAGGAGACCAATGTCAAACTGCTAACTGCAAAAATATACTATAAATAAATAAATGACACAGGCAAAGTTTGGGGTAAAACCATTGTGCATCACAGCTGTGAAATACATTGTGAAAGACTGGAATGGTTACTATTGTGTATTTGTGGACTGACCTGTTTTTTGTTTGTTTGTTTGTTTGTTTTTTGTAAAACAACACATGGAAATGTTTTTTTTACTTCATAATAGGCACTCCAGGCTTGTAAATATATACAGTATAGAATAGAATAGAACAGAACAGAACAGAATAGAATAGAATAGAATAGAATAGAATAGAATAGAATCGTTCCTTTCATTTAGGAACAGAATAGAACGACATTATTAAAAGTACCGCCAGATGGCGGTGTTGGCCAGAATACAAGTTTTTTTTTTAACCCGGAAACAGTCATTGCGGACCTTTAAAAGGAAGTGTGTGGTGTAGAGAAAGCTGCCGCTATTACCATGGCGCTTGATGTGAAACCCAGAGCAAAACGCTATGAGAAGCTGGATTTCCTCGGAGAGGGTCAGGTAGGCAGAGAAACCGCCCGCAAAGTTTGTTTTTACGTCTGACTCTGCTGCCCAGCAGCAGCCTTGCGGGTGGTTGTTTAGAAAGCATGTTTGGATGCTAACAAAGGATAGCCGTCTGTTTCATTGAACATTATCTTTTTCTCTTTTTTTCAGTTTGCCACAGTTTACAAAGCTAGGGACAAAACCACAAATACCATAGTCGCTATTAAAAAGGTAGAAAAACACGCCTAACTTTGATGTCATATTAGCTTTTCGAATGGCTCTTCTGATATTTAATAACGGTTTAATGTGTTGTTTTCTGGCAGATAAAGGTCGGTCACAGGACTGAAGCTAGAGATGGTGAGTGCTATTATGCATTGTTGCTTACTGTTTACATCCATAACCCCCCTCCCTCCACTGCAGGGGGTGCTATGTTTGCAATTCTAATGCCTTTGTCCATGTATGCACTACCCAATGTCGTTGATTTGTTATACTGGAATGGCCACAATGGCAATAATGAGATATGTTATCTTAAAATGGGCTAGCTTCAAAGTTTGTACATTAGCCAGTTAGCTTAGGTTTAATGAGAAAATATACCCATTGACGTTTTTCTTTAGGCCAGAAATTTAGTTATCAAGTACTTCATCCAATGCCAAATTGATCCTTGAATTTTCAGACGTTTTTAAAGAAATCTGTCTTTGAATGTTCGTGGCTGATCTTTGATGTCTGCTGAGGCTTCTTTGCAAATGTTTCAGGTCACAGTATCCTGAGTTAGTCCAGACGTTATCACACGATGAGAATAAAAGACAATGAAAGCAGTAATGGTGGTTTCTTACAGGACAGCCACACAGCCAGTCTGTTCGTTTGTACCAGAACATTTTAAAAGAAAGACTTATCTGCCCCGTAGTTTGAAGCTAACCTTTTAGCTCCAGCGTTGGTTTTTCATCACTTATCATCTTCTTTTTGGACCGGAAATCCAGTTTTGAGAAGTATTTCCGCCTTGAAATACAATCCATAGTGAGTTGGATCAGGCAGAGCATAAAACAACGCAGTTCTTCACCTATTACTGGCTCTAGCTTGGCGGCGACTTTCAGTTCACGTACGACCCCTTGAGGTGAGGCAGGGTACTGTTGCCCCCCCTGCTGACTTTTCTCTGCACTGTATTAGCTGGAACAGAAACGGGTCCGCGTCATGTGACCCAGTTTGTATTGGATCGCGCAGTCAGAAGTGAGGCACAGCTTGTCGCTGCCTCACCCGGGATTGCTGCCCTGTATTTGAATGCAAAATACTCGAACTCGGCGATTTTTACTTAAGAAAATATCAAAAATGTGTAGAGTCATACTGAAAATGCATCTCTAATACAGATTAGTGGGAAATATTTATTTTATTTAGTTTCTTTTTTTTATCATGATGGCGGGTGAGGCACTGCCTCCCCTGACCATACGTGTCTGTGTTACCCATCAGTAAATATCTAACCTGGAAACTTTCTTTCCGGAGGAGATCCAGGGCATTACAGCACTCCTGTGGAGAAGTACAGCAGCTCATGCTGAAATGAATATTCTTCATTTGATATGCCTTGTGATTAATTTTAAATGACCTGTTACCATCAAAATGATTAAGCTGTTGAAGATAATTATAAAATCATCTGTGTATATGTTGTTAATTTTGGCATTATGTGTCTTGCTCATAGCATGGTTAATGCTATATCACTGCTACCGTTTGAACAGGTATTAACAGGACTGCACTGCGAGAAATTAAACTGCTACAGGAGCTTCATCATCCAAACATTATTGGAGTAAGTCAACATCTAAAGTTTATGTATGTCTTCAAATATAATTAGAAGCATTGTATCTATTTATTTGGTCTGGTGCTATGGCCCATTTTCACATGTGATTTATGAGGTCATTTGTGATAACTCTTATTCTTTTTAACTAACTTAAAAAAAATGTTTTGCCTCAGCTCCTGGATGCTTTTGGACACAAATCTAACATCAGTCTGGTGTTTGACTTCATGGAAACAGATCTGGAGGTGAGTCTTTTTCTATCTCTGTTTATCAATAGAAATGCAACACTTGTTTGGTGAACCTCTCACTATTGTGATGGAAAGTTAGGAAGTTTGTATTATGCTGACAAGTTGTCCATTAAGGATTATGGGTTGCTCTCACACCAGTGTCTTATCTCCTGCAACTTCACATCCTCTGAAGACACTGTGTTTTCCCACTTTGTCTTCACATTAATTATATATAATGTAGTAGATTAAAGAACTTAGAGCAGCCTGTATAGCATTCAGTTGAACACACATTGAACCCACCAAATCGTCCAGTCCTGGATTCTAAAAAAATGTCAAATAATAATATTAGACAAAAATGTTAATTTTATTTTTATTTCATTTGAGAGTTTGGCCGCCAAAGTGTGTTTCCAGAAGAATCCTGGCCCTGCGACAAATATAGTCAGTGACCCCTGCTTTAACTTTTTCACTAATGTGGGATGTGTCAGCACATAAGACTACAGATCAGCACCTACCACCAGTGCATCTGACTTAAACATGATGCTGTTAAATAAAATAGATACAATGCACATTGAAAGGAATCAATATGCTCTTAGCTTTCACGTTGAATTAATGCCATTAGCTACTGAGAGGCAGAAAAAAGCAGGTGTAATATGATGCTCATCCTATTATTGATGCTGAAATGTTATACAGGACTCAGTTTTAGCACTGATTGCAAGACCCCAGCAGCAATTGATGCTTTGATTGTTACATTTGGTCTAGGACACCAGAGCAGGTGCAGACTGCACACTCCATATGAAGGTCTGATTCTTCACCAAGATGACATTTTAAGTTTGAACCCATAACCTGTTAGTGTGTTTTCCTCAGTTTTTTTTTTTCTTGTTTTGTCAGTCAGGACAACACAGATAAGGTTTGGAGAAAAAGCTAGATTGAGATGGTTTGGACATGTGCACAGGAGAGACAGTGGATACATTGGTAGAAGAATGTTAGAGATGGAGCTACCAGGTAGGAGAAAGAGAGGAAGGCCAAAGAGGAGATATATGGATGCAGTGAGGGAGGACATGGAGATAGTTGGAGTCAGAGTAGAAGATGCAGAGAACAGGGAGAGATGGAAATCAATGATTCGCTGTGGCAACCCCTGGAAAAAAAAAGGGACAACGCCACAAGGAAAAGAAGAAGCCTGTGTGTTTTCCTCAGTAGTGGCATGATTGGCTTTTTCTTCTGTTGTTCCAGGTGATCATCAAAGATACCAGCCTTGTCCTGACTCCTGCCAACATCAAAGCCTACATCCTAATGACTTTACAGGGATTGGAGTATTTACACCAGCACTGGGTCCTTCACAGAGTAAGAGTATCCAACACCTTTTAACACGCATCATTTCTCAAACAGCTGAATATGTTAGTGGAACATTGTGACATTGTGTTCACTGGTATTGTTTCTTTGCAATTCAAAATATCTGTTGGGGAATATTTTAGTGACATAATGTATACTTTTTAATCATTTGTACAATATGGTAAAATTCCAATTCCATTCCAATTTTCTTTTTAAATGTTTAAAAAAAATCTTCAGGGTCCAGTTGCCTACTTTTAAAACTGTTTTTGAGAATGTAAACTGAACATGTTTTTTTAATTAAAACTTTATTTTTATTATAAAGAATATCTTTCAATGCTAGGTATTATTAGGGCCAGATATTTTTTTTATTTTTTCAATAAAAGGATACTTTGATATTTCACTACTGTATAATTTGAAGATAGACAAACATTTTATTTTATATTCAGCAAAGATATAAAAACAACAAAGCACCAGACTGTACATTATAGTGCACAGTCTCTCATGCATATCATTTTTCATATTCAGGATCTGAAGCCCAACAATCTTCTGTTGGACAACAGTGGAGTGTTGAAGTTGGCTGATTTTGGTTTGGCCAAATCTTTTGGCAGTCCCAACAGAGTCTACACCCATCAAGTTGTGACCAGGTCTGTGCTGACACAACACAAAGTCAATGTCTGTTCATTAGTTTATAGCTGGATTAGCCTTGGGTAATTAACAGAGCATTTGACAGATTAACAGATGAGAAATGCTAAAAAGACCAGTGGAAAGTAGTGATGCTTTAATGTGTGGCTAAGTTATGGTTTAATAAGATCCTGGTTTATAAAACAAGACTGTCTTGCTTTATTATTCTTCATCCAGATGGTACCGCTCTCCTGAGCTGCTTTTTGGTGCCAGGATGTACGGTGTGGGAGTTGACATGTGGGCAGTGGGATGTATCCTGGCAGAGTTGCTGCTTCGGGTATGTCAACCTTAAAAATATATCCCTGCAGTAACAATGGAAACTCTTATGAAATGTGTTATAGTTGTTAAATTCTCTGCATGATGTTCTCTGCTATAGATACCATTCCTTGCTGGAGATTCAGATCTGGACCAGCTGACCAAGATCTTTGAGGCTCTGGGGACGCCCACAGAAGAGTCATGGCCTGTTAGTGTCCATTTTTGTTTAAAGTTTCTCTGTTAGTATTTGTTTCTGCCTGTTATCACAAACACTTGTTTTGTCAATGTTGCAGGGGTTGAGTAGTCTACCTGATTATGTGTCCTTCAAAATCCTTCCCGGCACACCTTTGGAACATATATTTAGTGCAGCAGGAGATGACTTATTAGAGCTTCTGCAAGGACTGTTTACCTTTAACCCCTCAGTAAGAACCACAGCGACACAGGTGAGAAGTAAAAAGGAAGAAATGTTGGCTTAATAGTGTAAATGATCACAACGTGCTCATATCACGTTTATAACATGTTTATAATCCCCTGCATACACACTAACACTGTTGTTGTACAGGCACTGAACATGAGCTATTTCAGTAATCGTCCTGCTCCCACTTCTGGGCCTTCACTTCCTCGACCCAACTGTGCACCTGAGGCTCTGAGAGAGAAGGAATTAAATGGAGGACTAAAGAGGACAATAGAAACCCTGGAGAAAAGTAAGGGACATTAATATTCTAAATATAAACTTGGTCTGTGGTAGGGGTGCATAGGGTTTTGACCACCACTGTGTTACTGGTTATAACATGAAAGAGTTTAATAGTCACTCAAACTAAAAGGCTAAAGGTCAACAATGGTCCAGGGATGTGTGTTTGGGTGGGTCTGTATATGTACATGACCTGACCAAACCAGACTACACTCAGTGAATGAAAAGAAAAAAAGCCTTACATATTCAGCTCACCGGCCTGCGAATAGGTGGCTCGCAGGCCAGATGTAAGTCGTCAACTCAGGGCTGCTAGACAATTTATTTATTTTTTTTTTATATCAGATATTATTTTCAGATATAGGTTTTCAATCTATATAAGGAGTTGAAAGCACTGGTTTGTTTTATCTTAAAATGAGTTTCTTTTGAAAATTCCCTGTACCAGTTGTCTAAAGATTCATTTTCTGATTACCGCTTAAACAAGCACAAAAATTATGCACCACAATACATTTGTATTACTTTTCGTAAGTCATATTCAGTGCTACACTATGATCAAATAGTTGTAATTCTGCACTGTAGTGTTTCCCTCATCATGGTTAGTCAAGAATTTAAAATATAATAGAGTGGCTTTTTGAATAGTAGACAAAATAAGAGTTGCATCACTGAAACAGGGAGCAAAGACAAAAGGCTGGGTATGTAAAACAGACTGGACAGCAGGTCACTAAGCAAAGGTCTGATGTAGGTATATATTAAACATTTTGACTTTTTTCTTTTCCTAACTGCTGTCATTAGTTGTGGGAAATGGTACATCAGGTACTGCCTGGAACATGTGGTGAAACAATGTCAATCCATTGGCATATATATATATATATCTGTGGGTGTATACATATGTAATCATATGTATGTATGTATGTATACACACACATGTATACATGTGTGTGTATATGTGTATACATATTTACATGTGTGTGTGTGTGTGTGTATTTCTGTTACCTGTTTATGTCTCAATGTGAAAACTTTCAACAAGCTTATAAATTTAGAGTACCTGAATTAAACCTGCCATTTCAGAGGGTGTTGGCTGCACATTTAACTGCAGTGAAATGGTCAGACTACAGTCAAAGAAAACACATATGCAGTGTGCAGCTAAGTGAGTTATGGGAGTTTTTTTTTATGCTGGAGTAGGACCTTGCTGCTGTAGGGAGGTTCAAAGTCATCCCTGTTAATGGTATGGTTTGTAAATAATGTGGGCTGACTATAAGCTGTGTGCTACCGTATATTACAGGGTGGCTTCCCACACGCTTACAGGGGATGGAAACTCCACTGGCAGCAGAGTGCTCATTATGGGCTTGTTTTAATTCCACATACAGTCTAGATACACGTAGACCAAGTGTAAACGGAATGTAATATAACAATGTTTTGTTATTTTCAGTTGGGATGAAGAGGAAGCTTATTTTCTGAAACTTCTAAAAGGCTCTTCCTCCTACATTGCTCAGGATTTCCCTCTGGGGGAAAACAAATATTTTCCATATGAACACAGGGAGATGGCAGACAACAGAGACGATATGATTGATGTAAGGACATTAATGATAATACAGTGCCTCAGGTTAGCTATATCCAAGATGTTTTGGACTGTTTAGTCTGCACCGATGCCTGAACTACAAGTCCTCGATGAATCATGTCTAATTTATGTGAACTCGAAAAAGCTAGCAATAAATTGTGCATTTGAACATAGGAATTGTGTTGAAATTCTTATGTTGGGTAGAAAATATGAAAGTTTAAAATACCTAATGTTGTATTTATAATAAACTTAAATAATGGTGATGTTTTCTTTGATAGAAATGACATGCTTGTGTAGACCTTATTTTTCTTTTTTTTAAAGGGACAGTATGCTGGAGTTAATAAATGAAATATCCAAGTCATTTTTTTCATTTATTTTAAATGGGCACATTGAGTGTTGTCTTGTCTCTAGGGATGTTGCCCTCTGCCTGTATTTTATCTCATTTGTTTCCTTCCCAAGCTGTCAAAACATTTTTAATATGAAATAATCATCATAAGAACTTACATCGAGTACATTGCAGTAATTTACCCTGCAGAAATGGCGAAAGCCTGATCACAGCCAATACTACTGTATACTCTCAATTTCCACTCTGTATAGGAGACCAAACCTTTTCTTCATATGCTTCAATGTGACAAGACGTCATGCATCTCTTTGCTTTCCTTCTATGTTAATTGTGATCCAAGGCACCCTGAGATGCCATTGGGCCTGACAGACTGCTTCTCACATAAATCATTTTTCTTTGCATTTTTTGCTGCTACAGGACTGTTTATTGAAACAAAAAATAAAATAATAAAACATTCTTATATCCTGACCTTTTCTGACAAAAGTTTCCCCCCGATACTTGCTAACAGTGCCACTCTGTTTCAATCATACCACACTATGCAGTGTTGAGAACAATGACTTTTTTTTTTTTTTGCAGTGGGTGAATGGGTCAGATGACAGATTTGGTAAATAGTACAGTCACAATGGGTTAGGGTGGCAGCCTTTTTGGTTTGAGCGTATTTGAAACTACTTTTCAGGCCATTAAAGCCACCATTGGGTTCAGCTGCCCATAGAACACGTGGACATGGTGATACACAGTCATAGTCATACATTTTAGTGAGGCGATCTGCGGTACTGTGTAAAAACAAAACTGACAAAGGGATGGGATACAGCCTGGTGCTGTATGTGGTTTGAGAATTAATGAGAATTTATCCAAATGTCAAACAGCTAATGTTTTACTACTCCTCATGTGATGATGGTGATTTAACCACTCACTTTGTAGGTAAAATGTCTTTGGATAAATGTTGATTTAAAAAAGCTAGCAACAACTAAACGTAAAGACTTAAGTGCAGCTTACACACTTTTTTGTAGCGTAATCATAGTCTAATACCCTAACCCTAATGCATTTTCCACATAAACTACATAACAATAACCAGATATGTGACAGTACCAGACATAAAACTTTATCAGCCAGACATAAAAGATTTATTAGCCATATTAGATAATATGTGATTCAATTCTGACACTGACGTTTGGATTAAAAACTGGAATTAGAACACACACAATGTGTCAAAGGACAGTTGGAGTCACATCAAAGTCAGATGCAATTCTGAGGTTGATTGTCTTACCTGACAAATCATCCAACTGTGGAGCCTTGTGGCGGTAATGCAACAAAATGATGCCAATTGCTGGTGGACCCAAAAAAGAAAAATTAGTTGAACAACAGCAGATGTCTGTATAGATAGGATTTTCAAACCTACAAGGTGTAAAACGGTAAGGAGGAAAGAAAAGGAGTGACATTATTCCTGTATCTGTAATTTGACCTCACTAACAACCAGTGTTGGGCACGTAACTTTGAAAAAGTAACTAGTTACTAGTTACTTTTCCCAAAAAGTAACAGAATTAGCAATTGAATTACTCCACTATAAAGGTACCTAGTTACAAGTGAAAGTAAGTAATGCGTTACCTTTTCTTCTTCTTTTGCTTAAAATATAGATTAGAAAAGCAAAGACAGGTATCTGAACAGAGGTTTTATTTATTGCACCTCAACAGACCACAACTGGTACTGGAACTGTTTTCTTCTTCACAAAAGTAAACATTTCAACAATATGAAGTGCTTTTAACTCGCTGTGGTGTAAATTAAATGAATCAAACTTTTACAACTTAAGACAACTGGTGGACATACAGTGCTCCAGAGCTCTTAAAAAGAAAACAATTTAACAGAAATGCTTTTAAAGTTGTACTGAAAATGTACATGAATTTGTTGAACAAATCTATCTATAACTTTAATTCCTAAACATTCATTCATCTATCCATTCATATTCTTCTTTTTCTTTCGGCTTTGTCCCTTTTTCATCTATCCATCCATACAACTTCATATTTACTGTAAACAAAGAATAGAGATGAGTGCAGCACAAATTTAATTTTGAGCTTCAAACGCCCACTTGAGGTGAGGCAGAGTACTGCCTGCATCCCCTGCTGACTTTTCTCTGCACTTTCTTGTCCAGAAATGTAGTTATCAAATATTTGAATTTTTTTCTACTTACTCCCATGTTATTTAAAAAAACAAACAATTTAACCTTAACTTTACTTATGGGTGAAGTCCATAATCGTATCTCTGGGTTTTCCCAGCATTGTAGACGCTAATGTTTAGTGTCCATTGCTCATCCAATGCCGAATCGAAAGTTTTTAAAGAAATCTGTCTTTGAATGTTCGTGGCTGATCTTTGATGTCTGCTGAGGCTTCTTTGCAAATGTTTCAGGTCACAGTATCCTGAGTTAGTCCAGACGTTATCACACGATGAGAATAAAAGACAAGGAAAGCAGTAAAGGCGGTTTCTTACAGGACAGCCACACAGCCAGTCTGTTCGTTTGTACCAGAACTAGTGATGTGCGGATCGATCCTGAAATTCGATACTTCCGATTCTGGATCTTTATGCTCTGAAATAGATTCTGAAATCAAAATATCGATACTTTTGATACTTATACATTCTGAGATGAGGTGTATCCTAAACAGAAACATGGTAAAAAGTATCTAAATTATTGAGATGTTGTCTAAGTGACGCTCGGTTGGTGGGACTACTTCTTCTTCCGCCTGGGTGTGTGCGTCATGCGTAAGCTCACCGGCTTAGAGAACCGGTTCTTAGGCGCTCGGTTAACTGAAAAAATACAACTCTTTCGGGTCCCAAATGTCTCCTCAGATTATTTATTTTATTTTATTTTAGTTTTACAAATAACATGTTTTGGTGAATAATGAATTAGAAATGTAAAAGATAAAGACTACCAAATGCTTATTCAATAAATGGCTTCATTTATTCATTCATCTTTATTTAACCTATGTAAAAATATATTATGAAATACAAAAACAGAGACCCATTGGAACAGGTTAGGTTAATTGAATAAAAATAAAAGCAACACTCAGGTAAAAAAATACTAGTAGTGCTATTATAATATAATTCTACTACTACCATAAACTGTTTACAGTAAAAATACACAAGATCAAGATAAAAATATTTTATATGATTGTGTTCTCAGGTTTTTCTATTGTTGTGTTGACTGTATAGTAAATGAGGCAGCTACCTCAGTACACTCCAGAGTTTAAAATAAATAAATAAATAAAAAACTCTGCCTTGGATTCTTAAAGAAGCTATGATTTGAAATACACATTTTTTTTTAATTTAAAATACAAATGATAAAATATCGGTATCGATATCGGTATCGGCGTTACCAGCCCGAATTTTACTCGGTATCGGATCGGAAAGGAAACTGGTGGTATCGAACATCACTAACCAGAACATTTACTTTACATTACTGTTTGCCTTCCCTGCTGACTTTTCTCTGCACTTTATTGGCTGGAACAGAAACGGGTCCGCGTCATGTGACCCAGTTTGTATTGGATTGCGCAGTCAGAAGTGAGGCACAGCTTGTCGCTGCCTCACCCGGGATTTCTGCCCAGTATTTGAATGCAAAATACACGAATTTGGCGATTTCTACTTAATAAAATGTTAAAAATATGCAGTCATACTGAAAATGCTTCTTTAACACAAACTCATTCACCTACAATGAAGATAATTGTGTTAATGTTGATATTAAAACAGTATTATCAATGTTATGCGTTAGTCTCAGACTTAGTTAAACTAAGCTATTACTCTTAACGTACCTTTACTATTTTACTTCTTTTTATTCTGCTAAACTTCAGCAGAATAACTGCTACTTCATATTTCACTGCTCATATTTTACTTCATATTTCACTGCTAAATACAGTACGTTGTTTCCAGCAAGGAACCGGTTGCTAAAAACAGAAGACATTTCTATAACAGGGGCAGGTATCATCTTAATGCAACATATTTCCCGTAGTTTCACACAGCCAGAAGAGACTAAATAGGTCGGTTTTATTGTTTGCTTGTTTTTTGTGAAATCCCTTTGTGTTCTGCCAACAAAAGTACAGTAACGGGTATGCCGTCACAGTCACGTGTACAAAGGCAGAAGCAACAGATATGAGTCACTACAGTCCTATAATGAGAACGCGGCCTTTGTGTTTGCCTTGTTTTGCTGATGATATGCGGTGGGAGGAGAGACAAGGAGGACGAAAGGAGGGAGAGGAGAGAGAGGAGGAGAAGAACGGGGGGAAGGAGGGGGACACGCGTTCGTTCCCAGTGTGGCGCTGATTTCATGCAGAGGCTGAAGAAAGGGAACATCAGCGGTGGCGAGCTCGTCTTCTTCCTCCTCCTCTGAATCGGATTTTCACCCACTGTCTGCTGGAAAAATGTGCAACCAGTGCTGTATATCACAGGTGAGGAACCGCGAGCTGACTTCTGGCTTCTCTTCTGTCTTTGTTTGTTGTTTGTTGTTGAATAGTTCACCGTGTCAACGCTCTGTCGAACAGCCAGTGGAGCTGTGCGTAATGATAGCTAACATCGGGCTAATAAAGCGACTCAGCCGTGACTACTTCAATTGATTTCTGCTGTGGCAATTTCCAGCTGCCACTTAGCGATTTTTTCATTTAGTCAAAATTTTTAAAGGAAGACAAAGAAGTCGAACCTAAGGCAGCCGCGAGGAGCAGCTAAGTCACTGTACCGGGATCTTTTCAGGAGAAACGAAACGTTGAAACATTGTTGTTTTTTACATTTAAACATTTCTGTTTTTTATAGATTTGCACAAATGTCGAACGAATCTCATCGAAATTAAATAGAGTAAAGTCAATTATTGACGAAAATATTGATGAAATTAAAATCAAACTATGAGAATATTAAAGAGAGTCACATTTAAGTTCGATATAGGAAACACCCATTGTTAGCATTTGAACGGAGACATTTGTAACATTTCGCCCGGTTGACTTCAAAAGGGTTGTCTACCCGCTATTATACAGTCCTGGTGACTTATTTTCGTTGCTGTCCTCGTATCATGTCTGGGCATTACACTGTCGGGAAAACTTAAAAGAGGTGATGTCAGATCTAACAGGAAAAATATCGGACTTCTTTTCCATTGCTGTAAAAAATTAAACAATTACCTTATATACATTACAATTATTTAAACAAACATGTCTGAAGAACCTATGCTGTTGTTGTCAATACGTTCATTTCAAGTGAACATAGTAAACAAGTTGTTTAGCCATACATTTTAATATGTCAGTGTTATTTGCTTCTCTGCTAGAATAGTATTTTTTGTTTGTTTGTTTAAACTCAGAAGAGACACAGAATTACTTAATGTTTTCAGATTTTTTTATTCTGGAATTATTTAATTGCATACATCCTGTATCTAATTAAAGCTTTAATTCATTCACTGTTCTTTCATAGTCTTTAAGCTAATTCTGCTAAAAATGTATTTGCAAGATTGTTTATATAGGTGGCGCTTTGGCCCAAAGGCAATGTCTCTGTCATTGGTGTGGAACACCAGGGTTCACCTCCTGGGCAAGTTTGAATCCCAGTTAGGGCGGTTGGTACCTTCCAGTGGACTCACCACCCACAGGAAGGTTCAGAGGGGTTGGTACAGTGCAATGTGATTTGGATGTCGACTGCTGCCCCCGCGAAACGGTAACGGATAAGCGGATGAAAATGGATGGATGGAGATTGTTATATACAGTATATATCTTGCAATAAGCTTCTCTCTCTCTCTCTTTTTAACCATATATGTGTTTCCATCTTAGGGTCACCAGAGGCTTCTGTTCATGTGTGGTCTGCTATTATTTCCTCCATGGAAGTGGAAATTAGGAAAGGGTTCATGTTGTTTGGTTTAGATTTTGGGCCAGACATGGTGTGGGAGCAGCTGACTGGTAGTTTCCCAGTGGGAGCAGGGATGTATGCCATGTTGTCCTGGTGGGACAGAGAATATAGAAGCTGTGTTGTCCAAAATGCTTCAACTGTTAGCTAAGCATTGACAGGACTAGATCTATGTGAGTGTCTGCAGGCTGCACAGTAACTGTACAGGCAACGTTGGCAGGCTACGTGAGTCAGGCCTAGAGAATAACAAGCTGTCTGTCAAGCTGTCTGTCTGACTAAAGAAAGATGCCAGAAAAGAGAAACGCTTGAGTGTGAAGGGGGATTAATTCAAATTTGTGTTTTCCCATCAGACTATTACTACTATTAACATAAACTTGGTATAACACATAATAATATTATAAATGTCATCACATCTTTTGAGACCATTAAAAGAAAGAAATATGCCACCATATTTTGAAGAATTAAGTAGGTTATTTAATAGATTAAGTTTAAATTCTGTCCTTGTTGCAACTAGTACTATGGTATTGCATTTTTTTATCTTGTAAAAAAGTGATTTTTGCAAAAAATCTCTGGCATAACATTCTGCTGATAAAAATATTAAGCATGTAGTTGCATTTCTTGACAGATAACTTCCAATATTTACATACTATAATCCAATTGTTTTACTCCAAATTATATCATGCTGGACCATCATTGCAAGGTCAGTTGAGCAGCTCCTGATAGTGTTACAAATGCTGGTTGTCAAGGTGACTGCACAGCTGAAATATCACATTTGGGCAGTCGGTTCTAAAAACAAGTGTTGTTGACCTATAAAATGAGGTGTAAAGCTAAAGACTAGGTGAAATATAAAACGGCTGGTCAACATCTGTGTCTTCCAGCCCTGTGGGTCATGCGATTGGAATTATCAGCCAACTGTGTCCATGTGAGCTATTTTCAGCTTTTTCTCAAGAATTTTGCTGTAGTCAGCAGTGGCGGCAGCAGGAGTGAGATTTCCCACAGGGAACTAATTGGCTATCATTCAACTCCTTTGTCTCCCTCCACAGTTGGCAGGGATGATGTTGGTATTGATCTTATCTTCTTCACATTTCTTTGTGCTGGTTGAAGTTGCTGATGTAACTCTGTGAAACTGCTAAAGCAAATGTTGTTTAACAGGAAGAATGTAGTTTGAGTGGACACCTTTAAGTCTCCTGGTCTGTGTTGTGTTGACCTCTATCATCAATACAGAGCCCAGACTAAACACAGAGTAACATTTGATTAGCCTGGATCCCCCTATCTGACTCAGATTGTCTGCTATTTTAACTGCTCTCTTTCCATTTCTGTTTGTTCTCCTTCCGATGGTTATTTTTGCAACATACCACATTGTCTGGACAAGATTGTTCCCTGTTGCGCTCCACTTTCACCTCTTTACTTTTCTCTTTTTCTGCATCCTTTGGTGGGTCAGGTTTCTATGTAAGTTGTTTTGGATCAGAACAAGAATACATTTTTGCTATTTATGTGTGTATGCCTGTTTAACCAAAGACACAATAGAGAAGCTGTCAGATACTATGGGCAGTGGTGGCTCAGTTAAGGAAGCGGACTTGGGTCTGGAAGGTTGCAGGTTTGAATCCATGGTTTGAATCCATCCGAATGCCAAGTTACTACTGAGGTGCTCTGAGCATGGCACCGTCCCCACACACTGCTTCCTGGGTACTCAAAAAGCTGCCTGGGGAGCAGCTTTGGTGCACTTTGGTGATGGGTTAAATGCAGAGGTCACATTTTGTTGTGTGCAGTAATGTGTGTCACAATCACTTTCCTTTCCTACTCCTAAGTGGAAGTTGGAGTTTTAAAGCAGACTTAACCTGTCAACCTGAAGTATTTTATCTGGTTGTTTGTTTTTTTCTATGTCCTTCAATGCAACTATCTATCTCAGATTTCAACTATTGTCTCAGATTTCAACTATTGTTGAAATCTGAGATAGCAGGGTAGTTTCGTTTGAGAAAGTAGTTTTGTTTGAGCTGTTGGCCTGCCAGGGTTCATTGTGGTCAACTTAGCTCAGTGGCTAATGTCTATCAGAGTTGAACAGAGACTTACCCGAAGCAGACAGATAAGTGAGTGAAAACCAGAATACAATAAAGGTATTAGTTTTCATAACAAGGTTTAATTCTGCAGCAGTGTGGGACTCCAGGTGCAGCCTCTTCACCATTTTGAAACTCCTGTCACCCTGTGAAAAGATTCTCTGTGGGTGAACCAGTTTTCTCGTGTGAGTGTAATTGTTGTTTTTCCAGAATCAGTTCTACAAAGGTCAAATGACATCAGTTGCCACAGGTTCTAAAGATTTAAAAGAAGAAAAAACAAAATTGGAATTAAAATTCCCCTTGAATCTCAAATCAGGAGGCAGACGTGTGAAAGGGCTTTCCTTAGTTTAAATAAACAATCTTTATTAGGCATACACATTACATATGCCTTTACTGTACTTTACTGTAAATTTTCTGTACTAGGTGCAGGCCAAGTTCCCTTGTATGTGCATACATATAGAACAAAATCATTCCCATCCCTTGAACAGCTGTGACTGAGGGGGTTGGGGAGCAGTGGCGTGGGGTTCAGGGTAAAGGACAGTTGAAAATAACGAAGAAGTGAAAAGAAAAGAATAAGAGGAAAAGACAACAGAAGATGATAATATATCTTTGAGTAACCGGCTGGGGGAAGGTGAAAGTGAAGTGAAGTGAAACAGCCCCAGGGTAAGTGGGAAAAAAGAGATAAGTCTTTGTCTACATTGTGTCTTCCCAGGAGATTTGTAATATCAAATTTACCTTTGGATCGTGTTATTATTAGAAAAAGCCTTTCAACAGTTTCCTATTTTCCATAGTGACAGATGATTTGGGAGAACATTAAGCGCTGGCAGGGGCAGCCATTGAAATTGAAGTAGGTTTGTTAGCGCCAGCCACCTGCTGAGGAGCTGGTGGAGCAGGCGGGAAGTGGAGGAGGAGGCGGAGAAGGTGGATGGCTTGTGAAGTGGGTAGGGTCAGGGTTCGTTTCCATGGATTATCTCTTTGTATGTACGTGTGGTGGAATTCCTCAAGACATTTTCTCTCTGTTCACTATCAGTGTGCAGTTGGGCCCCACTTACTGTGTGCAGTCTGCTGGTGTAACACCCCCTAACTAATGAAATCTAAACACTCTCACAGCTTAAATCCTGTTTTTTCTGCTTACTTTCAGGCGGCTGTGTTTAATTAATCGCTCATTGAGAGAAACATGAGGTCACGGCACAGACAAAGGAAACAACTTGTCCTGTTAAGCTGTGTGTAGGAGAGAGAGCAGCAGGGCCACGTAAAAATAAATCTAGATATCTAGAGTCTCTGTATGAACAAAAGCTGAAATATGCACATGTAGCCTGGGAAGCACAGGGTGGGACCTATATATAGTCTTCAATTTTTCAAGTACTGAAACGGAAACAAGTGAAGTGAAATCTATGTGTTTATACACACTCCCTCTCATTTTTCTGTCTAGTTTCGTAATGTTGCTCACTGGTATCGGTAATTGTTGTAAGTAAGTAAGTACAATGTAGTACCTTTTAGTTATCACTGAAATTTGAATTTGAAACATTCTCTGTTGTCAAAGTACACACAAACCTTTAAAAAGCTGCAATATCCAATATTTTTCTGCTGTTTGTATGAAAGTTATTTAAAATAGCTAAGTGCTAGCTGGTATCAAATCATAATTGTTTTCATGGAATTTCATAAAGACATACTGACCCAGGTAGATGCTGGTAGACTTAAAGCAGCCATGTCTGATGCACGCAGAAACATGCAAAATATTGCAAAAAATTAGTATGTCTGTACCATCTAATTAAGAAATATCTAATTGCTGTCACACACTTGATGGTTGCTGGTCATATTGGCCTTCACGTTTGTCCTCATTCTTAATTCACAGACAAAGCTTGGGAAACACTGCACTGGTGTAACAAGAGGCACAACTGGCCTCTTCACTTCACTGAGGAGGTTTGAGTTAGTTCATATGGAAACGACAAAATGGGACCCTGGGGTAAAAAGACAAATCTAAAATCTAATCCTCAGACAAATGGATAAGAATCAGGCGTGTGGTCCCAGACACAGCTTGATCTTGAACATGTGCCTGTGTCAGTGGATCCAATTGTGTTCAACATACTTCATATTACAGACATCTGGAGCGGAACGCAACACATCAAACCATGTTGCACACTGGCTTTACAGCATCAGTACGCTCGGATTAGACCTAAATAGACACACACATACACACACACACACACACGCTTGTGGATCTGTAGTTTTTGGAACACAACACAAACCAATCCTTTGGTATTAACCCTAACTATCAAATGTCCAACCCTGTATTTGAGCATAACCGAAATTGATCTCCAACTCAACAAAACGCATGTGTTACTACTATGATTTGTTCTTCTGTATCTGTATTTTAAACAGCCCTACTCATTGCTGAGCAGTTTATTGTGTGTTGTTTGATACCACTCTAGAGCATTTACTCAAATATTTAGATGTAAACTTGGTCAAGTTCAGGAAATGCGACAAAGATTCCACTTCCCCGACACACGAAACTGCTTAAATGTAAAAGACGCAAACCACTGTATAATGGCAAACAAACCATCAAGATGAAAAATCAATATTTACAAGAACCATTATGTTTCTTGATCTATTACAACGAGTGTAATGAATCAACTTCAGCTTGTTATGCGTTGTATGTGTTGATTGCTTGTGGAGAAGCTGTTTAAAAACTCTGAAAAAGCTTTTGCGATAGCGTCAGACTTAAGCTTAGTGATACCATCAATAACATAATTTACCGTAGAATCGGCATTTTTGCACATTTGCCAGATTTTGAAACCTGTTGTATATTTTAAAAAGCGTATTTTTAGTAAGACTAGTAATGGTACATTAATGTAGCGTAGCCCCATAGTGTACCACACCTTAAACCGCTGCAGTGTGTCTGTTCTGCCCTGTGTAAGGTGGTAGCAGGGTGGAGCGGCTACAGACAGATCTTACACTGTGTAATTACCCAGCCTGCTTCTTTCCTAAATAGAACAAAGGTCCTGTCTTTTTGAGAAGGCCTGTCAGAAGAAACAGACTAGGCCTGTGTTGTGTGTGTCTGTGCGTGGGATAGTTCAGAGAAGGGGACTGGATGTCTGTGCTGACCAAGAGTTGCTATTGTGAAGCACTAGGAGAGTTTTGTCCTTGATGATAGAAACCATGAAGGAGCACAGAGACAGTGCAGCTGTTGCTATGTCCAAAGTGAAGTTGTATTTGCTTTGCTTTTGTTTCATTCAGACCTGAAATACGCAGTGTTCAGGAATGTGAAGGCAGAAGCATTGAAAAGGTAACAATGCCAGAAACAGTTGAAGTACTGAAGGCTGTCGTACAACAGTTTTCGCAAACAGATTGAACAGCTGATACTTAAAAACATGAGCTGTGTCAGTGCTTAACCATAAACACTCTCTCTCACAATACTGTTTTTGGCCTCGTATGTACAGTGCTTATCATAAGAATTCACCTCCTTAGATGTTTTACACTTTTATTGCTGTCAATCATAAATCAATCATGGTCAATATAATAACTTTTTTCACACAAAAATGTATTGCAAAAACTCTTTAATGTCAAAGCCATTGCATCACAGTGGGGATGGTGTGTTTTTGGTGATGTGCAGTGTTTGGTTTCCGCCAAACATGACGTCTTGTCTGATGGCCAAAAAGCTCGATTTTGGTCTCATCAGACCAAAGAATCTTCTTCCACTTGACCATGGAGTCTTCCACGTGCTTTTTGGCAAGCTGTAGTCGAGATCTAATATGACTTTTCTTCAACAGTGGCTTTCTCATTGCCACTCTCCCATAAAGCTTTGACCGGTGAAGAACCCGGGCAGCAGTTGCTATATGCACAGTCTCTCCCATCTCCGCAGCTGAAGCTTGTAACTCCTTCAGAGTAGTCGTAGGGGTCTTGGTTGCTTCTCTCACTAGTTGCACGGTCACTTAGTTTACGAGGGCGGCCTGATCAAGGCAGATTCACACAAGTGCCATATTCCTTCCAGGTCTTGATGATTGATTTCACTTAACTTCGGTATCTGTCCCCTGAATTGTACTTTTCAATAACCCTTTCTTTGAGTCGCATGGAGTGTTCTTCTGTCCTTATGGTGCAATGATAGCCAGGGATACTGATCAACTAGTCTCTGGACTGATGATTTATGAAAGCAATAAAAGTATAAAACATCCAAGGGGATGAATACTTATGAAATGTACTGTATATTTGTAGGTATTTGAGGTAAAACAGCTTTCAAATATAATGGATACAAAAGTCATAGCTAAAATGTATGTAAAAAGAAAAACTTTAAAAAAAGCTTTAAAAAGTCCTGTACAGATGGTAATTGAAAATTTTTCATTTTTAAATTACAAACATATTTAAATATGTATCTTTCTCTTCAAATCTAAATGTTGTGACATTCGACTAAATACATTTTTAATAATCCAATAATAGATGACTCTAGACATAAACATTTGGGAATTATTTTGGCTGAAAGACGGTTCATAAACCTTGGTCACTACATGTGCAAATACCTCGTTAATAGTCTATAGCTGTATCAGATGGTGTGGAAAATCTTAAAGCTAATACCCCAATGCTCTTGTTTGTGTGCAGCTGGCCTGCTGCTGTGGAACAGCAGCCTGCTCGTGCTGCTGTAACTTCTGCCCGAAGATCAAGCAGTCCACAGGGACCCGGGTGATGTATGCCCTCTACTTCCTGTTGGTCACCATCATCTGTGTCATCATGATGTCCCCCACTGTGGAGCAGGTGTTTAAAGACCATGTGAGTACATCTGTTACACACAGTGATGTTATACTTTCAAAATGCAACATTCTCAAAAGATGCATACATGCATCAGTGAAAGATTTTGCAATCGATACAACAACACTTCACCACTCGCCTTTCCATGATGTCATAGCCAGAAAATCAACAATCTTCCTTAATAAGACAGTTTAGATCAGGGGTGTTCAATAAGTACCAGTAGCTCACAAAGGAAGTGCTGGTAGATCATGAGCAAATAAAAATTGTAGTAATGCATATACTGGAAGAATTTAATCACATTGTTGATTCAGCTGCATGCATTAAATCAGAAACCCAACATATAATGCACTGTATATACAAAAAGGTTTAGTTTATATGAGTAAATGTAGGTAGATCACTTGAGACTGGTCATTTGAATAGACTCTCCCATGCCAAAAAAGTGTGGGCACCCCGATTTAGATCACATGCACACATCTTATGTTAAATCAGTCATCACAAGTACCAAGAGAAAATAAATAAAATTTTCTGGTAAAAGATCATTGATAGATCTTAAGTTTATATATGGCAAATAATAAAACAAAAAAGTGAAAACTGTTTAAAAATAAAAAAAAGTTGGGATATGTAACCCAGTGTGAGTCGAGAGCTTGCTTGTTGTTTGTGTGTTATACAAATGCTAATAGCTGCTTCACATTCTCTTGGTGAGCTTTAAATGCAACATATATTTTCCAAAGACTTAGATATGCGCTCTACTCACTTATCATTTGAGTGCACACACAGGGTTATGGTTTCCTGTTTGCAGCCAATACAGTATACATCATTGCAGTTGACAATCATTTGAAGATCTTAGTGAATCAGAAATGAAGTTACTGAGCTGATTATGAAAGATGTTTTAGGAAAATAGTGGATACAGTTCATCCTTTTCTTATTGTATTTTCATTCTAGTTACTGTGAACTACTGTGAAAATATAAAATATTTAAGAGGGGAGACTGTCTTGATACAGAACAAATACTACATGTTTATCACACCTCTCTATGGCTTGACACCGACATTTCCTCGTGATGCTGTCTCTTGGGCCTGAATAGAAACCTTTCCTCTGAAGTGGCTGTTTTCTGTGAATTACTTCAGTTAGTTAATAGTCACATTCTGATAGAACACTGTCAGTGGTGACGTCCTGATTTTTGCCTTTCACTCTCTCAGTTTGTATTGATGGTTCAGCGTAGCGATGATTAATGTACAATACATTTTGCACAGTTCTTAAGCAACACATTCCCTAAAACACTGTCTGTGACGACTCACTGTCCCTGTTTTTTTCTGATTTTATTTTGTACTTGTTGTGCCACCTAGTGGAAGAGTATTTAGTAATTTTTCAGTCATAATAGTTTTCAGACCATTTAAATAAAATTAGTTAATATTCCATGGCACACCGAGAGTCATCTATACCTGAAAGTTCTCGAGTAGTTTAGTTCAGACTTGCTTTTTGACTGTCAGAGATGGTGAAAAGTTCAAATGAATGTGTCTAACCGTACTGGCTGTTGCCATCCACTTAAAGTACGTTTAAAGACTGATATTATTTCTACCTATCATAGTCATGTTGCTTTTTTTCTGTGTGCTACATTGTCAGTATAGAACAGAGTATAACTTCCTGCAGTGCTGCTGCCTGTGAGAGCAGATCACTGTACAAGGACCTATGCCGGAACAAAATGGACTCTGATAGCTCCATGCAAAGCCTGCTGAGTAACACACGTACAGGCACAGAGACACATTCACTCACAGTCAGTCACACACTGAGTGCAGTGGGAAGTCCTAGCTAAAAGAGCAGCTTTTGTGTGTATTTGAGCCAGCCCCTCTTAATCTAAACTCCATGGACATGCTAATATGGCCCTCAACATGAGACAAAGCTCCAAACAAGCTTTTACTCTGTGTTGTGACCAGGGTCTAAACCCAGCTACACACCTTGGAAATAACATCTCAATCCACTGATAATCCTTTCAGTTGTACTTTGACTAAACCTCGAAAAGGTTTTTAGCCAAATACTGTATGAGGAGAGTGAAGTCAAAACCTCTTTGTCTGCCGGAGTTCATCATTATTAAAAGTGGGCAGGGATTTGATTTTCCAAACTCTGGCTATGTTGTTCCGAGACTGTCTCCTCTGTTGGCAATGAGCAACAGGACCTCTTCCAACTTTCTGTTGAAGGCCAAAGCAAAGTCCTTATCTACTTAACTCACTCTAACTTTGCCTCCTTCTTTTTGACACAGGTCACATCAGTTAAAAAATGTCAGCTATGTTTGTAGCAACATTGATTTCTTCTGCCTTTTTACTTTTTTAAGCCCCCATTTCCTGTGACTCGTTAGCAACGAGTTGTTTTATTTATTCATCTCTGCCTTTTGTTTGTTTACATTGACAGTGGGTTGTAAGGCCCCTCTAACAGCCTGTAGAGAGCCAGGGAAGAAAGGGGTCTTCATGGAGAGAAAGAGAGGTTGTTGTCACTGCCTGTTCTTTCTTTCTGCTCTCTTAAAGGCGTGACGCTCATGATAGACACTATTGGATCCTTTCTCAGAAACCATGTAATACACAAGCATGAGTAGAGGTAGTTTCTTGATTAGCTTTACAATGTCATTAAAGTTACTTTCTGTGTGTTATGCATGTCAATCAATCAGATTCCCTTCTACGGAGAGTTGTGTGAGCAGATAAAAGCAGGAGAAAACTGCAAAACTCTGGTTGGTTACTCTGCCGTCTACAAGATGTGCTTCGGCATGGCCTGCTTCTTCTTCTTCTTTGCTCTCTTCACTTTACGAATCAACAACAGTACCGGCTGGAGGGCGGCCATACATAATGGGTAAGTAACCTTCTTCTTCTCTGTCCTTGATCAGTTGGAGATAATATGTAACATTTACAGGGGACTGTAGATGGGTGCTGTGTTTCAGTGCTTCTAAGACAATGCATGTTGTCCTCTATAGTTATGTTATATAAAGACTAAGGCACACTGACTGTATGATCCTGCAGTTTCACATAATCTGTATCAAGGTCAGAATGAGAGCATGATTGGGAAATTCGGGGCTTTTTCCTTCACAAAAATGCTGACACTTTCAAAAGTCAAGTTTCAAATATGCCATAACCGAAAAAATGTTATGAAAGGTGGAAGTGTATTCTGCAGCTGAAATACTGTTTTTCTATCTTAACTTGTTGCTGAGTTTTGTTTTGTGTTTTTGTTACTGAGTCCTAACCTCTTCACTGCCTGCCAGGTTCTGGTTACTGAAGTTCATTGTGCTGGTGGGTTGCTGTGCCGGAGGATTCTTTCTTCCAGAAGAGAAAACCTTTCTGGAAGGTAAAAAGTGGGACAGTGAAGTATTTATTATCATCGTAGATTTAAAATTAACCTTGTCCTCTTTGTAATTAAACTCAGAATTAGACATGGGAGTAATTAACAGAGGTAATGTTCTGTCTTTTTTCTTTTAAGTTTGAAGGATCATTAATTGATAAGCTAAGCCTCCAAAGATGTTTTTGTCTAGTCCGTGTCACTATAAATACAGTTTGTTGCAATTAAATTATGTCCTGGGATTTCACATCATGGGGTTTGAATAAGTGTTTTATTTTATTTTTATTTTTTATTAGTCTCATAAGGTGACCTTTCTGCATTTATCCTGTGGTAAACCTCAGTGATTGCCACCAAACACAGTTGCAGAGCTGCAGAGCAGTTGTTCATGTTTGTTGAGAGCGGGGGAGTTTGGGTTTAACCGGGCAAAGGACTGCCCTCTGATGACTAGACTTGTCAGATACTGATAAAGTATTAGTTGGAGAAAGAATCCAAAATAACTGAGCTTCTGAGCCTCTGCACAGATAAAAATGTAACTATTTAGCTGTGTTGGTGCAAATATGTCCAACCAGAAAACTGTTTAACTTTGCTGCTAACTGACAAAGTATTGGCTTCTTAGGTAGGAGTTTGTCTAACAAACCTCACAACAATATAAGTATTCAGCAATTCTATTACAGGAGGACCTCTTGATCTGTAGAATAATGTGGAGAATTTATTGGTTTCTTTTTGTTTTATTTGTTTTCTTTTTTGCTGCAGTGTGGCGCATAGTTGGAGCCTTTGGTGGGTCCATTTTCCTGCTTATCCAGCTCAAGCTTCTGGTGGAGTTTGCACACAGATGGAACACAAACTGGTAAGAAGAACACATTGTCCTAAACCCTGCTTCAATAAATTAGGTCACTGCTGTGAGTTTTTACTTTTTACTGAGACGTTTAAGGATAGGATGATTTTTTTTTTTTTCCTGGGGCACTTTAAAGATTGGAAAAAGGGTGTCATGTGACCACGGCTTTTGTGGTTGGAGGCTGGAGGATTGACTGCAGCCCATCCTTCCTCAGCAGATTCACAGGATGCATACTTTTAGTCGTCTTTGTTCAGTTTCCTCTGCTCTGATGATTGTTTTTAACTACTTAAGGTTTTTCACCTTTTGAAAAAAGATTAGAGTTGTATCTATATCCAGGGCTGCTAGTACTGTTTCAATCAATTTCCTTAAGGTTAAAATATAATTACGACAATTATTTTCTTATTATACTCACTAATAAAGGTGATTATAAACATTAAACCTGGTTTTAAGCCATTTTAAAGTCAACACGGATGTGGTTCACCCTATTAATTTCACCTTCACTTTCATTTTACATCAGTTAAAAAACAAATATAAAGCATTTAGTTTTGAGCACTGCTTAACATTTTTATTCTTATGAGAGTGAGGTGAGAGCAGTTCTAACTTTGAATTATTTGAGTGAAACAAATGTAACAAAACTGTAACACCGAAGTAAAAGTGCTGATCGAACAAAACAGAAAAGTTATTGATGGCTTTATTCATCTTCCTCCTGAGCACTGAAACCACTGAACACTGAACACCGAGCCATAGTCACTTCATTTCTCCTGCGCACTGAAACCACAAGTCACTTTAATTATCTTCTACCTGCGTGCTGAAACCTTTGAAGTCCTCTTCTTCAGTTTCTGTTTTTGTACTTCCTGCTAGAACGCCCCCTGGCGGCAGAAGAAAAATCCATAGAAAAGCTGCATCTTTGCATGAACCATGTAAAGAAACTTTTCATGAACCATGAACCGCATGGTTCAAACCGTGTGGGAAAAAAGGCGTGGCTTATAGTCCTGAAAATATGGTATTTTCTTTAATTAATTATGTAATTATAACAAGTGATTGGACACTAGAAAGACACCTCAAAATGTAGAGCTCATGACCACTGATATGTTGGATCATTTTCTGTAACAGATGTAACTGACAAAAAAGGAACTTATTATTTGTAACTCACAGTAACTCCATAACTTCCATCAGTCTTGTCCAACTCAGTGGTGGTTCACTGAGGTGAACACTGCAGCTGCTGTTCTAAGTGAATTTGTCTGCATGTTATGGACCAAACTACACGTTAATTAAGATCAGATCAGAAAATAATTATTTATTATGACCAATGAGATACATTGGAAATGCAGTTTAATATTAGAAACTAAATGTCTCTCTCTTTTTTTTTTTTTTTATTCTAGGGTGATCTTTCCTGTGTCTGTTCTTTGTTTTTTGCTCCCTGTTAAATCAATCCTTTTTAATTCTGTGAGTTTAATTTACCTTGGTTCATGTTGATTTCTCCATTTTATGCTCCGTT